ACCATAGATGAGGTTCAGGACGGGAACCCCTGGTATTACGACATTTGGAACTTGTTGGAGAAAAAGGCGTATCCACCAGGGGCAAATGCCAAGGATAAAAGGGCAGTCACGAGAATGGCCGTTCAGTTCATCATCTGCGAGGGTAAGCTGTATAAGAGAGGTCATCTGGGCATGCATAAGCTGTGCGTAGAAGCCGAAGAATCGAAGCGCCTGATGGAGGCCATCCATGGAGGGAAATGTGGTGCACACATGAACGGGGTGATGTTGGCTCGGAAGATCCTCAGACAAGGTTACTACGGGTTTACCATAGAGGAGGATTGTATCGGCTTTGTTCGACATGCCACAAATGTCAGATCCATGCAAACCGTATGAGCATTCCACCATCAAAGTTGTACAATATGACTTCACCATGGCCATTTTCGGTTTGGGGAATCGATGTGATCAGGGCTGTCACTCCGAAGGGGTCGAATGGACATGAGTTCATCCTAGTCGCGATAGATTATTTCATGAAGTGGGTTGAGGCCCAATCTTATGCGGTGTTGAAGACGTCGCACATTGTAAAGTTTATCCGAAACAACATCATTTGTCGCTACGGGGTCCCAAACGAGATTATTTCAGATTATGGTTCCCACGTCAAGAAGCAAGTGATTGACTTGTTGGAGAAATACAATGTGGCTTTTCATAAGTCATCCACAAATCAGTCGCAGACCAATGGAGCAGTTGAGGCCGCTAACAAGAATATCAAACACATACTGCAGAAGATGGTGAAAACCTACTGGGACTGGCCAGATAAGCTGTTGTTTGCTCTGTGGGGCTACCGGACTTCAATTAGAACTTCTACTGGGGCGACTCCGTATTCATTGGTTTATGGGATGGAGGCTGTTCTACCTATTGAAATTGAGGTTCCGTCTTTGAGAGTGCTGGCTGAGTGTCAGATAGCCGAGGCAGATTGGCAGCAAAGCAGGTTTGAGGAACTCATGCTCTTTGACGAAAGAAGACTGAAAGCACTGTACCATGTTCAAGGTTATCATCGCAGAATCACCAGGGCTTTCAACAAGAAAGTTAAGTCCAGGAATTTGAAGCATGGAGATTTGGTGCTCGAGGATAACTGAGGTCCCGTCCACAACCCTAGGGGCAAGTTCAGACCCAATTGGACTGGTCCCTACATCATCAAGTCTATCTGGTCAGGTGGAGTTGTCATTCTGATGGACCTAGATGGCCTAGAGTTCTCACAACTGATCAACATGGACAAGTTGAAGAAATATTACCGCTAAGAGGCTCGCAAGGCCAAAAACCCGAAAGGGCGACCTAGGCAAAAGTTAGAGCATAGAAAATTTGAAATCATAAAAACTAAGCTCGCAAGGTTGAAAACCCGCAAAGGGTGGCCTTGGCAAAAGTTAGAGCGCAAAAGGAGAGTGAAAATACTCGAGTGAACCCGAGCCTGAACTACGTAAGGCTTGATTCCCATCTTTGGGATACGTAGGCAACTTCATCCTGAAGTTCAGCCATAAACACTTCCCAATCAACTTTGTCCATTTGATCATTTCGCCCATCTTTGTCTAGTCAGCGTTCAAGAGTCCGGTTATGATCTCCGATGCAGTACTTTTCAGACTAGTGGCAACTTTCCAATTGCTGGGATCCGGAGTTGCGCCTCTCAGTGATAGATCTTAGGCGTGTCCAGTTCTCATCCATACCGAAAACAATTTTGAAAAGTTTTAATAAAAGTTGACTTTGTTCAAAATTAATCGTTTTACAACTTAGACCATTTTTGGACCAAAGCGGAAATTTTCAGTACCCACAACCTTCAATTTCATTGATTTCAATACAGAGTTTTCCTGCTCTTGCATACAAATTGAAGTTGCTTTTTATTATATTCATAAAGAAAACTTGAAAGTACTAATAAAGCAATAAATTCGGGGCATAGATAAGTTAGGTATTCCTGCGCCCCCTCCCAGACCTGGTCGAAGCCTCTGATGCCAAGCTGGGCCCAATCTGTGCGTCTTGATTGAGCCAATCTATGCACTCATCAGACAAAGTGCAACTGAAAGTGGGAGCGGGGGCCAGGAGCTCTCTAGTTCCCCATGCCGTGGCATATCGAGCAAGCTGTGCGCCTCGGACCGGAAATGCAGCTGGGTACTCTATCCCCTCTAGCGGGCAAATCTGGTCATGGCCGAACTGGTGCGGGAACCGGAATGTAAAGTAGAACACACAGTGAGTTAAGCCAATCAACTGAATCCTGGTCTGTCGGGACATGCTGTAACTCATTGCCGGTAGATTGAGCCAAGGGCACCGCCAAGCAATACGATCCGCAGACAAGCTGCACATCCAATCGAACCACCATCCCTTATCAAGGGCATTGACTAGGCGTTGCCGGAAGAAGTAGCCGCGAGCTGAGTACGCTGGGCAAGAGTCCACAATCTGCAACTTATCCATCAACCACACCTGGGAAAGGATGAAAAATGAGAGAATAAAGAATAGAGAGATGTACGATGAGAGAAAAGTGAGAAAAGGGTTGTGAGAAAAATCGAGCCTGAGGGCCGAGTGATATGAGCAATACATATGTGAGATTGGGCGGGAAACATTACCTGCAGCAGTAGTGGACTCCCCGTAAATCTGATCGTTTCTCGGCGATGGAAAGCGTCCAAGCCCATCAATGTTTCAGCCAATATCATGGCAATGCAGCTCTTGCCCTCCTTCAAACCTTGGGCAACCTCGATCAACCAGACACTAGACCCTCCGGAGCCCAAGACAAACAAGAAATGAGATAGCATGCACAAACAAAGGGCATGTCGCTGAAAGCCTTGCCAATGATGGTCACTGCGGTCACCGGCATCAGAAAACTGACAAATCAAACTCAGAATATCCAGTATTCCATCACAAATCAAAGATCGAGCGTCGTGCATAGTGAGCCCACTCGTGCATAGTAAGTCCACACATTCGCCCTAGGGCTTGGGTGTGGCTAAAGCGAGGCTGAGGCAGAACTTCTCCATTGTGCTCAGATTCCATTAAGACTTGGAAGTCTTCGATTGTAGGACACACCTCTTGCCCGCCAAAGCTAAAGATATGTGTTACCGGGTTCCAAAACCTCGCCATGGCATGATGGAACGGAAAGTGCAGTGGGGTACGACTCTGAGTGAATAGTGCATTTATGTCGAAGCCCCAGAAATTCAGCTTTTTCGAGCCGTCCAAGTTGGCAATCCAAGCCATGAGATTCTGTGCCAGAAACTCTTCCATTTGGAGCAAATCAGTGCTGAATTGAGAAAAACTACGAAGCTGAGGCCATTTGTAGAGGATAAGGCGTGGGTGGAGGACAAGTGTCAACATTCTGGTGGTTCTTGCCAATTTTTGACCGGTCGACCATAAATAGTGCCGACCGACCACCATGTTTGGCCAATCGGCTAGTGATAATGGCCGGTGGCCATTTATTATGGCTGGTGACCTCTTTATTTGGCCAGTGGCCTTCCTTCCTATCCTCAGAGTTGTCCATCTGCTGAAAATGCTGAAAACTTGTGACTGGTTCCACTTCCAGTGTCTTTAGTGATTGATTTTGCAGAGCCACGCCTATTGGCTTATCGAGTTGTTGTATATTTGCTTATCGAGTTGTGTTTCACTCTCTTTAAGTATTTCTTTGCTAATCGAGTCGTATTAGCTTACCGAGTTTCTTTGTTTTGCATATTAAGTTGTAAGTCGGTTCACTACCTGATTATTACGAAGCAAGCACTTACTTTTTAAGCAATCAAAAGATTCTAACCTCATTTACATTGTTATGTAATGCAATGCGATGCGATGCATGGAAAGTACAAATGTAACACCTTTTTGAATGAAATAGCTGTTTCATTTCCATCATGTCTTTTGCAAAGATATACAGTTTTGAAAACCTGCCTGAGGCAGTGCCATGTTCCTAAATTACCGATAAAAAGGATAAGTAAAGCAAAAGAGAGGACCAGGGCAGCAGAGTGTCCGGATTAACACTAGTAGCCTTCCCTTATGGTCGATGCACTTCCCACGCCTTTGTTCGGGTCAATTATGTGGTCTGGCACCTTCATTACTCGAGACAATGCAGGGAATTGCACTCTCGAAACCTTAGTAGATCTTCGTGTCAACCTCGAGCCGTGTCTTCTATGAACGATGTTCGTTGCGTGCAAGGAGCATCCTTTCCCGTATCCTTTTGTCTCTTGTGACTTCCACAAATCGCTTCAATTCCGTTGTATAACTTTGCTTCATTTGATGAAGCACGCTCGTTACGCGTCTTCCTTTCAACAAATGCCTCATCTTGATTCGGTTGCATCTCAGCAAATGTGAGTAGCATGCCTTTACTATACTTATGCTGAACATGTATTCATACCATGCTTGCTTTACACATTGCATGCGTTGTTGCGTTATGCTTTACTTACATGTGTTCAAGTTCCTTTTTACACATTGCATGCGTTGTCGCGTTATGCTTTACTATGGCCAAAGGTTTGTGTATATATGACATATTAATGTGAAAAAGCTAGAGTTTCGAGATAGATGCATTTATTAGATAGAGAAATATTACTAGAATGAATAGTGTTGAAATAGACAAAGAGAGTAGTGACAAGTTCAAGGATCTATTGCAGAGACACAGGAGTAGAAAGAGAAAGAATATAATGAAGAAGAACTATCAACAATGGTCGTTCGATAATTTGAGCAAAATAGAGGAGTCTGAGTAAGAAATAGATAGAGCTCAGGCATAACTAGGACAAATGTCAAGCCCCAAACTTGCCCCTAAAAGTTCGGGCATGACCTATGCAGATACGGACACATGACCTGATATACATAATATACGGGGCCTGAACGGAAGCATTTAATATTACAAAGTAACATAGAATAACATCCCTTGAGCTAAAACTAACATGCCAGGATCACATACGTGAGAGCCATTTATCTATATACATACCCATACATATAAATGAGCGTATATCCGAACATTGGTAAAGAAATGAGGTATATACATACATTTTAACCTTAAGTAAATAATTAAAGCGCAAGCCAAAATCTTAACAAAACTTCACATAAATGCATGGGCTTGGCCTGGGAGTCTGGGCATACTGAGGTTGACAATTGAAGGGTGAGCGTCAAGGGTTAAGATGGACTCCCAAAGTAATTACCTATAGAACAAACATAACACAAAGTGAGCGAAGCTCAGTGAATAATAGTACATAAATGATTCAATATTCAACTTAATCATAATACATATCAATGCGTATGTAAATGCGGAGATCATATAATTAATCTGATTCTGTACTAATTTCAGAACGGCCTTAGGCCCAATCTTGAAACATAATGGCTTTAAGCCTTTGAATGGATTGGCGATAGCCCTTGAACATATTAACATTAAGCTTTTACACATGTTGGCATATAGCCCTTGAATATATGGCATGAAGCCCTTAAACATATGGCATAAAGCCCTTGTACATATGGCATGAAGCCCTTGAAAAGTTGGCATTAAGCCCTTGAACATATGTATGGACTCAAGAGGTGGCTTGTACGGATTCTAGAGGTGACTCGCATTGCAGCACTTAGTTCCGTACAACACTTTGTTCCATACCAGAAATCATTAGGTCTTAAAGACCGATCAATTCATATCATGTTATAACATAGCATAAACGGAACGGATAAATAGAAACATATTCATACATATTCTTACTTATGCTTGAATCAGAAACAGAAGTCAGAGTTCATGCTTGATCATAACCTACCCGTACAAGACCGTCGGTGGTACCATCCGTACAAGACCATCGATGGTAAAACATAATCCACCTGTACAAGACCGTCGGTGGTACCATCCGTACAAGACCGTCGATGGCAAAACATAATCCACCCGCACAAGACCGTCGGTGGTACCATCCGTACAAGACCGTCGATGGCAAAACATAACCCACCCGTACAAGACCATCGGTGGTACCATCCGTACAAGACCGTCGATTGAAAAACATAACCCACCCATACAAGACCGTCGGTGGCAAGAGATATCTTGTAACATACTTGAACCATGGTATTATTACCCCCGGGCAAGGGCCATAAGACCACGGTATTGTTACCCCCGGGTAAGGGCCTTGTGCTAAGGATGCCATGAATACCTTTACATATACGGATAATCATTCATTAATTCATAACGTAACATATCATAAAATAGAGCATTTCTTGGTATATCACGTCATTACCGTGCGTTTAACAAAATAGAATAATTCACATTCTTATGTGGGTCACATAATGATGTTAAACTTTTGCGTTCATGTCGTAGATTCTAAATAACTTCGAGGTCATATGTAACACAACAAAATAACTTCAGATTCATATGGATTCACATAACTTTCCAATTATTCTGATTCTTCGAAGATGAACACAAATTCTCTTTATTCATTAAGAAATGACATGTTTCACTTGAGCTATTAATAAGTAACATACACATTTGTTTAATCGTTCATATATGTTAACATGGTTGACCTACAATTAACAGAGTACTAATAGTAACCATTGCATCATTCACATGAGTTAATGCAGTTAACTTAAGTTTACCAGAACGTTCTTGATAATTATTAACGAAAGGTAAACACATTTTACCGATTGAATGATTCCAGAGATACCGGAATACCATAGTTCCATAATGCTCATATGTTCTATTTGTTCGTCATGAATCACTATAGTTATCTTGCAAATAACAGAAAGGTAGTATTCATTGTCAACAGTAAACTGAATGGACTGCTCAATAATGCCTCTAGATTTTCCAAGCAACATATTGTTAACTTAATTACTTGCAAGGGACAGAATGTTAACAATGAGAATCATTAACAATACTTGAACGTGCGACTATAGTACTACTACTCACAGCGGTAGGTCTCTGATAGCGGTGGAACGATGTCCTCGTCTTGACCTACAAACACAATGCATATAACAGATTATGAGAATAAAACCAATCTCTTTTTATTCTTCACTCAATAGCTATGGTGGTTCTAGACTCATTAGTCCTCCATAGGTTACAATCCATGCCTCATAAGATAGGAGGAATCGATAGGAGAAAGGTTCAGGAGAAGAAACGGTACAAACCGGTAAACAGAGAGTGAACAGTCGTCACTAATTTGGGCATAACTATTTTTGTATTTAGAATTTGGGAGTGAAACCACCACCATCGGAAACTAGACTTCCGGGGCTTGATTTTGGGCTCAAGAATCACTCAAAACGGAGTCCGGATGCAAAAGATATGCTTGTTCAAAGTTGGCTGGACAGAGCTGTCTCCGCACGTGCGGGAAAACAGTGCCGCACGTGCGGCCCTGGACAGTTTGCAATCCGAAAATGGCTGAAAATTTGGGACTTCTCATTTTCAAAATCAAACCTTAATTACATGTAAATCAAAGCCCAAAACCCTTTAATACATGACCAATTTCACATTGTTATTCTCCATCAAACATCATAACCTCAAAATAAACAAATATAATGACTTTAATTCTTCAATTAACCAACTCTTAAGGAATCAAGGTTCAATTCATGAAAGGAGTTCATCTAAACTTATATCTATCAACCCCAACTCAAATAGGTGGTTTCTCTTCAGTTGAGATCATGAATTTAAACTAGTAATAGATCAATCTTAAGGGGTTAAGTTGATTTCACATACCTAGAGCCAATCTCTTGAAGTAAATCCATCAATTTCCCCATCTTTCCTCTTCATTCTCAAGCTCTTCCTTCCTTTTTCTCCTTGAGTTCTCTATCTCTCCCTCTCTCACGTGGCTCTCCCTTTCCTCTAGATATATATATATATATATATTTTATTCTAAGAGATGAGTCCATCCACTCATAAGGCACCCATAATATAAGTATAAACATACACACCAACATAACACAATAGAGAGAGCCAAACGTGGCCTTACGATTCGCACGAAATCAAATTTCAATTAAACTTCCCAGATAACTCTAAAAATTATAAGGATCATAAATATGTCCCCTGTTCTGGTTTCTGAAGCCTCTAATGCCTTCAATTTGCAGTATAAAGTTAACTACCCAAACGTACATTAAGAAATCAGACAAATTAGATTTCCAATTAATTGTCCCGAATAGTTCCAAAAATTCCCATTAACATATCCAAGTACTCAATTTTGATTTCTGAACCCATATAGGTCGGTAATTTCAATTTTAAAGCTGTAACTCAATAGATAATGCTTCAATTCCAAAAGATATAATTAAATTAAAACACCTCATCCCATAATTAAATACCAATGATTTCTTATACGCATTTTGGGGTCTTTACAACAAATCAAGGGAAAGAAAATAGAGTAGAGAAAAAAATTAAGAAAAGTTGGGAAAAAAATGTAAGAGAAAATTTATTTAGTAGAACAAAATAAAAGCACGTCATAGATAATTTTTTTCAACATTTTTTATTAAAATTTAGTTAAATTATATATATATATCTCTATATATATATGTCTGTAAGTGTATATAGATATTTTAAAAAGTATATCGTTTGTATATTACTATTTCTATTATATTTAATGAAGATACTATGACTAAAAATAAATCTAAAATAGAGATAGGTGATTAATTGCAATTATCACTTAGGGATGACACTTCAAAATTAATTGAGAGAGTTGAGAGTGGAGGGAGGGATTAATTTATATATATATATATATATATATATAAATAAAATTGGTTGTTGGTGGAATTAACATTTATATGACTTTCAAATTAATTTTTTTTTTTAATTTTTGACCATTGCACTAACAGGGGGCAGGGAGCCGTTGGGGTTGGGTTGGACTAGATGGGGAAAAAAAAAATTCGGGTCAAGCTCACGAGATGGATCACACTCCATAACACACCAAAGTCAGCCAGGCTCTAGAACACATAGCCCAGGGTCTTAGGTTGGGCTTAGGCTCAGACGTAGTTGGGCCCACCCAGGGCACGACTGGACTTGGAGTGTGTTGCGAGCTTGTGGGCCAAATTTACACCCCTACATATGGGTAGTAGTTATGAGATTTGTGATTAGTGGTTCTGATATATGTGATGTTGGTTATGAGATGTGGTTATGACATAAGTGGGTAAATGTTCTGAGATATATGGTTAGTGATTATTAGATATGTGATTTTGGTTATGAGCAGAGTGATGTAGTTATAAGTCAAAGGGTGTTTGGTTATGAGATATGCGATTAGTGGTTATGAGATATGTAATGCTGGTTTATGATCAAAGTGGTGTGGTTATGAGATATGTGATTAGTAGTTATAATATATGTGATATTGGTTATGAGATATGTGGGTAATGATTATGAGATATTTGATTAGTGATTATAAATTATGTGATTTTGGTTATGAGCAAAGTGGTGTCAAAGGGTGCTTGGTTATACTATATGTGTTAGTGGTTATGAGATATGAGATATTTGTTATAATCAAAGTGGTGTAGTTATGAGCAAAGTGGTGTCAAAGGGTGCTTGGTTATACTATATGTGTTAGTGGTTATGAGATATGAGATATTTGTTATAATCAAAGTGGTGTAGTTATGAGCAAAATAGTTGTTAGTTATAAGATATGTGACTAGTGGTTATGAGATATATAATGTTGGTTATGCCTCAAAAAGGTTGGTTATGAGCTGTGGTTATGAGATCTGTGATTGTGCTTATGAAATATGTGATATTAGTCATGAACAAAATGGTGTTAGTTATGAGATGTGGTAAGTTATGATCAATTTGATTATAGTTATGAAGAAATATGATTTTGGCTCATAACTATAAAAAGTGACTTATTTAGCAGGTCACTTTTAATAATGTGACTCAATTTTAATCATTATTTTTTATATACCATATATTTTTTAACAAAATATACTATAGACTTTCCTCAGCAGTGAAACAAACATCGGATCCAGTACAATTTCGGTAAAGTAGGTCAAAAAACAAGTCATCCGCCCTTTATATGTGTATATATAAGAATTGCTCACTTACTTTTTTAACAATAAATTAAGCCACCTGGACGCACATACGACAATGAGCAGCCTTTTTTCAGTAAATTAACCTCAAGTGACTAATGAAACAAACAAAGGATCTAGTACAATTACAGTAAAAGTAGGTCAAAAAACAATTCATCGGTCGTTTATATATATATATATATATACGAATTACTGGAGGTTCATTTTTTTTTTTTACATCATTTTATTTTGAATGATTTATTAATAGTGATTTATATATTGAGTGAAATATTTTTTGTAATTACACAAATATTTTTGATCAATTATAAAATAAGTTTTTTTTATAATTATGCAAACATGCTTAGTTAATTATGAAACAATTCTTTCTGTAATTACGTAAATATTCTTGGTCAATAACGAAACATGTTTTTTCATAATTTATTCTTGGTCTTTTATTTTTTTAACAAATTACAAATACACTTATGGGAGCCGAATAAATAAAATTGCTAATCAACAAATAGGACACATCCAAGCCCATTATTGAATTGGAAACTGAACAAGATTGTTAAATGATGAATACAGCGGTTGATGATGAAGAGGACATTATGGTAGTTAGGTGTACTTTCTTTAGATTATTTTGTTTCTTTTTAGCAAATAAGGTTAGTCCCAGAGTTTTACCTTCATGTTTATGGGCTGAATGTGTGATTGACAATAGCCCTCTTGGTTATGGAGAGGTTCAGTTGGAGCATTTGCAGGTAGCACTTGCTAAGTTAGATGACCTCAAAGCTGATGTATAGGATTCTTTAGAGGAATTTAACTTAAGGGATGAAGCCTTTAAGAGGCCCATCTTTGTCAATGCAAAGTAATCTAATAAATGTATGGACAGACTAGTTGGCCATCTTTCTGATCATATGGATTGTTTCGCATAGAATTCTGTTGAAATGCCTGACTTGGACATATCATTAGTTGAGCATAAGCTCCCAATACGAAGTAACTATGTTCCTCATAAAAAACATCCAAGAAGAATGACAAATGAGATAGTGCTATTAGGTAAAGATGAAATTGAAAGGCTACTTAAGGCAGGGTTCATAAGAATTGCTAGATATGTTGAGTGGCTATAAAATGTGGTGTCATGAAAAAGAATTAAAAATTAAGAGTCTATATAGATTTTAGGAACTTGAATACTACAATTCCCAAAGATGAGTACCCCATGCATGTGGTTGATCTATTAGTAGATTCAGCAGCCAAGCATGAAGTCTTGTCTTTCATGGATGGACATGCTAGGTGCTATTAGATATTTATTAACCTAGAAGACACCCACAAAATAGCTTTCAAGTGCCCTGGGACCTTAGGCACTTTTGAATGGGTTGTTATGCCTTTTTGGTCTAAAGAACGCATATGCAACCTATCAGAGGGTTATGAATTTAATCTTCCATGATCTGATTGGGAAATTCTTGGAAGTCTATGTGGCCATCAAGTCAGAAAGTTGTGATGAACATTTAGACCACTTTCAACATACCTTTCAAAGAATGAGGTCTCACAAGCTAAAAATGAACCCATTAAAGTGTGTACTTGGGGTTTATGTTGGAAACTTCTTAGGTTTCTTGGTTCATCAAAAAGGTATTGAGGTGGATGTAAATAAGACCAAAGCTATACTAGTAGTACCACCACCAGCCAAGAAGAAAGAGATGTAAAGCTTTCTGGGTAAAGTGAATTTTCTAAGGAGGTTCATAGCTAATTTGGCTAGGAAGACTTTGGCTTTCTCACATTTGGTAAAAGATAAGTTAGATATGGATTTGAACTGGAGGAAGCCTCAGCAAGAGGCTTTTGATTTAATTAAGAAATACTTAATGAATCCGCCAGTTTTGATGCCTCCCATCAAGGGAAAACCACTAAAATTGTACATTTCAACTTGTGAAGGGTCTATTGGGTGCCTATTAGTTCAGGATAATGAGAGTGGCCATAAGTAGGCCATCTATTATCTTAGCAGAAGATTAAATGATTCAGAAACTAGAAATAGCTTAGTGGAAAAGCTGTGCCTGGTTTTATAATTTACTGCTATTAAGCTAAGGCATTACATGTTACCTTTAGAAGTGTGGGTGGTGGCCCAAACTGATGTGATTAAATACATGCTGTCTAAGCCTATTATGAGGGGAAAACAAGGTAAATGACTGTTGGCTTTTATAGAGTATTGCTTCAAGTATGTCCCTTAGAAGGCTGTTAAAGGCCAAGACTTCGAAGATTTCTTGGCTGAGCACCCTTGTTCTTCCGTCGATGAGGATTTGTTTGAGGTAAACTGTCATCACCCAAACCAACCCCTAAAAGTTTAGATCATAACCAGCCAGCAATCACTCGATTACCTATGGCCTCAAATAGGTTACAAAATATTTTTAATTATAGGGCCCAAGCATAAGGAAATAACATAAGTATGATGTCCATTGAGCAATGCCTAAATGATCAAGTTATGTCATACCCATATACATGTTTGACTTACAACCACAAGTTAAGCACAACAAAATCTGTTAAGTACAACAAAACCTTCACCATTTAACTACAAGTTCACAAAACCCTCTTAACAAAACAAATAGACAAAAGGCTTAACCAAGACTTAGACCTAGCACGAACGGATCAACAAAACGCTGTCAAGTAGGTTTGACAAGACAGGTTCACAAAAGCAGATCCGGGGTTGACCCTAAGGCTGTTCTCCTTGCTGTTCACCTACATACATGTAACATAAGAAGTGAGCGAAGCTCAGTGAATAATAATAAAGTGGAGAGATATAAATTCATAGCTTCGTATTTAAAGAAAGCACGCTAATGAAATGAAAAAAAAAAACTTTTCAAG